TTGGAGTTGTTATCAATCCAAAGAAATGTATTTTTGGTTCCCCTTCCATTGAATTCTTAGGACATCGAATAACTGCCGAAGGCATCAGACCTACCGAAGATAAGATAAAAACTATTAAGAACTTTCCCGAACCTGATTCCTTAAAGAAACTTAGACGTTTTCTCGGGATGTTCAACTTCTACCGACGTTTTATTCCATCATGTGCCTCCATAGTTCAGCCACTGACCGACCTACTTAGATGCAATTCGAAGAAATTTCAGTGGTCTGAAGAAGCAAAAGCAGCATTTAATAATGCAAAAGATGCCTTATCCAACGTTGTAATGTTATCTCATACCAACCCAGAAGCTTCACTCATTTTATGTACAGATGCATCGCAGGTAGCAGTGGGAGCAGTTTTACAACAAAAGTTCAATAATGACATCACTCCACTTGCTTTCTTCTCCAAGAAGTTGGAACCTGCGCAAACTCGTTACAGTACTTTTGGCAGAGAACTGTTAGCCATCTACCTAGCAGTGAAACATTTCAGCTTCTTACTACAAGGTCGACATTTTACTATCTTAACCGACCATAAGCCTCTTTGTTATGCTTTCACCACTTCGTTGGACAGACACTCTCCGAGAGAAGCCAGACAACTGGATTACATCTCACAATTCTCAACAGACATCCAGTTCATCAAAGGAGATTCTAATATCGTAGCCGATTCTTTGTCTCGATGTGACGTTAATCACCTATCTTCGATAGATATTAGCTTAGACAATATTGCCAAGCTGCAGAAAAATGACGCCGAACTCCATACTTGTAGACGAAACTCCTCCCTACAGTTGCAGGATGTACCTATTCCCCTGTCTGATACAACTATCGTCTGCGACGTTTCAACGGGCGTTCATAGACCTTTTGTTCCACTAAGTTGTCGAAAACCTTTGTTTGAACATCTACATTCATTGTCTCATCCTGGAGTGCGTGCTACGGTCAAGTTGATCAGCGAGCGTTTTGTTTGGCCCAAGATGAACTCCGATATTCGGAAATGGGCCCGCCAATGCTTGCAATGTCAAAGATCCAAGGTACATCATCATACCGTCACACCTCCAAAACAGTTCAATTTACCGGATAAACGATTTCAACACGTTCATATAGATGTTGTTGGACCATTACCGCCATCCAGAGGATTTACTCATATACTTACTGCGATTGATCGATTTACCCGATGGGCTATTGCTTGTCCACTCAACGATATATCTGCAGAAAATATCGCTTTGGTTTTCTTAGATCGCTGGGTGTCAAACTACGGAGTACCCACAACTATTACAACAGACCGAGGAGCTCAATTTCAATCAACTCTGTTTCGAGAGTTTACGAGACTCCTTGGAGTGAACCATATCTCCACTACAGCTTATCATCCTGCAGCGAATGGTCTGGTGGAACGTTTCCATCGACAACTGAAAAGCTCGCTTATGGCACAAGCTGACTCATCTAAGTGGAGTGAACACCTACCATTAGTTCTTCTCAGTATCCGATCAACTGTAAAAGAAGATTTGGGATGTACACCAGCTCAACTTGTGTATGGTACTACCCTCACATTGCCTGGTCAGTTAGTTCCGTCTAATGATTCAACTGAAGTAAATATCTCCGACTTCACCAACCGCCTTACCCAGCATATGCTTCAGCTTCGACCAGTAGCCCCTCGCCAATCACTTCAGAAAGCTCAAGTAAATAAGAATCTACTCACTAGCAAATTTGTATTTGTTCGCGTCGATGCCATTAGAAAAGGTTTACAACATCCATATGAAGGTCCTTTTCTAGTACTTAAACGCACCGATAAATACTTCACGCTGAACAAACATGGTAAACCGGAGACTGTTTCTATCGACCGTCTTAAACCAGCGTACACCGACAGCGAACATGAAACACTAGCAACGCCGACACCAATAAACAATCAGAAAGTCAATGCAACTCCAACTCTCCCGCTCTTCACTCTTCCCCCTGTACAGACACGCAGTGGGCGGCAGATCTGTAAACCTGCCCGCTATGTTCATTTTATTGACTGACATAAACGTTAACCTCATTTAGACATTCTTCTCATTACTATTGTTGTTGACATTCATTTCATTATAACCATTAATATTTATTAGTATTATTGTTTGCTGTTCGTTAACTGTACTGCAAGCACACGCATTCACCAAGTATATGTATATATCTATTTATATATGAATTTCACAAATGTTAACAAACATGTCATGGTTTATTATGTACATAAATTTTTTATTTAAAATTATAACAAGTTTTGATTTTTTTTAAATTCGTATGTGCTTGTATGTGCTAAACTTTATACGACACGGATGCATTCCATACATCCTGATCTAACTTTGTATCCTTATTGTTGTTGTTATTTTTTGTTATCCTTATTGTTGACATTATCCCTTATTTATATTGCTTATATTCATGTAATCGTCCACGAGGACAGTACTGATGGTCCTCCGGACCTCTAAGAGGGGGAGCCCTGTGGAGTCCTCAAAAATAAACTTATCCAAATTTTACTACTATGTAAGAAATGAACATATTGTACATCACTTTGTTTTAACCATAAACTCTGTACTTTGAACTTTACCTCGGGTTTTGAATAAATATATAGTTCTGCCTTCGACTCTCCGTCTTCTCCACCATCTCAACTGCCGTCGATCAATTTTAATCACCTGCTTTCTATCTCAAATTTTTGCAGGAGCACCGTAGTTTCTTCCTACGTACTTTGGTCGACCTCCGGCAACGTCAACATTGGAGAATTAGTACTGGAGCAGTCTTCCCGCAGCACCTGGAGTCTATTACGTTTATTGTGGACTTTGGATCTTTGTAAACCCAAGTAACCAAACTTTAATACATTCTTCCCGTAACTAAACTGATTTGGTATTTTATTTTCTATTTGAATTTGGGTAACTAAGCTAACAGAGTAAAAGGTCCACAACACATTGGAGTACACTTTATTGATCTCTGCCAACCTCCATGATGGTTTTTCTTAACGTTATTATATACTCGTAAATCAACAGGTTGAAAAGATTTTAAATAATCGTGAGAGTAAGTCAACCCTTCTAGACGATAAATCACATTAGGCAACACGATTTCGAAGAAAAACTTTACCAGTTACTGAATGGTTGTCTTATGAATTCTTTGTGAAATATAATTACGACTGCACAGCTTAAGAAAAAGCTTGTATGACGTCGTTTCTATCGATCTTAGTATGGCATTCGATTGATTACACCACTTTGCTCTCCTTAGTAAACTAAAAGATTTTGGATTAGACCAAGGCCTGTATCAACGGTTTAGCAATTACCTAATACACAGAAGGCAAAAGGCAGGCGTTAATGACTTACTGTCAGGGTGGAAAACAGTGTTGATTTGAATACCTCAAGCGAATGTACTAGGTCTCCTGCTATTCCTATTATACGTAAGCGGACTTTCGAGAATTCCTACTTCATCTTCACTATTATTTGCGGACGACATTAAGATATGGAAAACTGTAAATAATAACAATGATAGGTCGGTCTCACAAAACGATGTAAGTAAATTAGCAGAATGATCGAACCTCTGGAGCCCCACGACCTATTCTGCCTTCTCTCACTCTATCTTTTCCTTAGGTCACCTTTATTATTCCACTTATCTCAACCTATATTATCTACACTACAACCCATTATTTTTATTCTTATTATTATTACCACTATTCTGCTTTTTATGACTACACCGAATGACCAACGGGAGTTAGGTCAAACTCCATTCACGGCAGCAATACAGTCCTAACATACTGCATACTACAAACCACATCTCGACCAATCCCCGCACCACTCCTCCTGGAGTCTACCAGAGCTAAAGCAGTCGAGTGGTGGGACTTACTACGCAGAAGCTCACCGAAGATCTGGAACCTCTACCTCACAATCAAGAAGCGAGCTCAAAGAAATCACTGGTTTATACTAGCTCGTAATAAGGATATTGGATCTTCACTATTATTTGCGGACGATATTAAGATATGGAAAACTGTAAATAATAACAATGATAGGTCGGTCTCACAAAACGATCTAAGTAAATTAGCTGAATGATCGAACCTCTGGAGCCTGGAAATTAGTTCCAAGGAAATCGCGGTAATGCAGCTTATAAGACCTCTGGCTTATTAAAGGTCTTACAAGTTGTACAACCTCGGAGACAAGGAACTTCCAGGTACCAAGGGACAAAAGGACTCAGGAATTATTGTCAGCCATGGCTTGACAAACAACTGCAAATTGTAATACAGCCACGGCTAACGCTTTCTGGATGCTATGAGCACTTTGCACGGCTTTCAAACGATTACATGAGTCTATGTTCCAGGTAAACTATGCAATACATGTTAAGCCTTTCTAGAATACTACATACAGCGGCGTCTCCATGCTTCAAGAAAGTGGTACACAGAGGGTAGGAACCGAACTAGTCAGTGGTATCTCATACCTTCCTCATGACAAGAAGATGAATCATTTAAATGTCTCCCCATTATCTTACCGAAGGAGGAGAGGCGACTTCATTTTGAAATACCGTATTTTAAAGGATGGTTGAGGGATTGACTTTTCTAATTTCACCTCTACCTCTAGATCACCAAAGGGTGCTCAAACCACGGACGAATGAAATACGTGTAACATTTAAATTCTCTGACATAATGGTCAACAACTAAAACTCATCCCCTGATCCAGTAGTAACAGCTCCATCGGTGGAATTAGACAGTAACTTTGTCTACAGCACAAATTATTACTTCCTGTTTTAGAGTCAACTTTACAGCAACCTTTGCCCTCTATCCCACTGACAACTGTTACACTAATCACCATCAGTAACTATGGGTAGAAACGCCGAAAGTAAGAGTTTATGTACATCAAATGTTACAAAACATCACAAATACAAAGTTGCAAGTATTTATAAGCCATGCGTTACTTCACTATCTTGATATCCATATAGAAACTCCTTTGTGATCACGATAGATCTTGTTAAGCTTTTTAAGTAGACTCCTTTTGAGCAATCAGAGAATTTAGTCTGTCAATCTCCAGATTCAGCTTCTCAACCAATTCACATAACTATAAATTCAATCGTAAACTATGGAATCTCATGCATACCTGTTTGTTCTCATCCAAAGTCTCTTTCAGGGCTACTCGTCGTTCCTCAGCAATAGATTCCCAGTATTCTGAAGATGGATCAACTAGATTTTGTTGGTGATACGGCAAGATACAAACCTGAACACAACAATTCATTCAGATCTGTCCGATTCACCTGAACAGACATCTCTTTCGTTTCCTTCACCTGTTCTCCAGACTTTTTCGGTCGCTGACTGCCGCAGTGTTGACATTTGTCCTCTACAGGATCCACATAAACAGGATATTTTAGGATCTTTGGCTGGTTAGCAGTTTTCACAGGCTTTTGGACAGTTCCAACTGGCGATGGTTTGGAATGCGTGTTAACACCTGGCTTAGTAACCGTCTCATTACTCATGAAGTATCAAGCAACTGACTCATACCTTTTTTAATTCCACTGGCCCATATGTGTTCAACAAACGCAGACCTCTCCGCGGGACCTCCATCTCCAGCCAGGCGAATTGCCACCGAAAGTATGTAAATCTGATATTCGACCTCGCTTAAGAAATCGAACAACCGACTAGTATGTGGAAAATCCTGTCGATAAGATGATGGTCGATAAAGAAAGTGTAAAGGTGTACGTTGTTGGATTCCCAACGTATGAGCTAATCCCACTTTCTTGTAGATGACAAATGTAAACAGGTTTCAATTCTTGAAATAAATTACTTGACAGAACTATTAAGCTTCACTCAGAATATCAAACGATCAATTGATTCTTTGTGGAATCTCTTTGCAAATGTAAAAGTTTCAAAGCGAAAAGAAGCAGGAGTGCAGTCAGTATATGACAGTTAGTGCGAAATTTCTGAATAAATATAGGTAGACTACTTTGAAATTTGATGTGATATTGAACCTGGTCCAAAGTCTACTTCCTGCAGCAACACATGTCTACCACCTGCACTTCTCATTCCAGTCGGCTTTGATTTATATGAAAGTTGGTGACTCTAAAGAATAGCAGCCCAGACCGAAACGACCTTCGAACGAAAAAGTGACCTTGAGCAAGGAATCAGGTGACTGTATCATTTTCGGAAGTAATCATGGATGCTTTACACCTTTTGCGTTGCAAATTCGCTCCAGATCATGTTTCGATTAATGTTTGGATAACGGACTGATAGCTAGGTCGAAAATTTGCCAGTGCGGAGGAGTTATGTCAATACAAAAATACACATGCCATTGACGACTTTGTATACAGATGTATTGAGTGCCGAAAGAGGAAATCGGTTCGAGAAGGTTTGTCGTTGTTCTAAACTACCTTTAACGAAAATTTTGATAATCTGTAACTTCTGGGTCTTGAAAAGACCAGTCACAGCTACAGCTTATGAAACAGAAAATTCAGAAGTGTTAGCGGTACAATGGTACAACTACTGCAGTGACGTTTCCTTCTGGAAAATGAACACCCTTACTCAAGTTCTAGGAGGAGTCGGCATAATCGTCCATAGTGATGAGACTGTGTTAATAAAAAGGAAATAAAACCGAGGGAGATTACAAGCCAACCAGCAGTGGATATTGGGTATCTACGACACAGCACTACGAAAAGGGTATATAGAGGCGATTCCCAATCGCAGTACAGCTGTATTATTGCCTATTATTCAGCGTTTGGTGCTGCCTGGGACGACTACTTACACAGATGAATGGAGCGGCTACCGCCAATTATCGAATCATGGGTACATTCATCATGTTGTCAATCACACGGACGGTTTCCGGAATCCTTTGGATGGAACCCACACTAACTCCATCAAAAGTTTGTGGAGTCGTCTAAAAAGACGGATTAGGGCTGTTAATGGATCAAGAAATCCCATGATTTACAGTTATCTGGATGAATTTTTGACAATGAAGACTCCCATGAGAATCTGGGAGGTTGTTTTGCAATACATACGCGAACGCTATCCTTTGTAACTGTTTATTATGATTGCATTATTTTTACATAAACGGTTTTTTTACAATGATGCGCCTTTCTTTTTGAGCCTCCTCATTGGTCGAAGTTGTCCCTGTCAAGGTCATTTTGCGTTCAAAAGTCGTTTTGGTTTGGGCTGCTATTCTTTAGAGTCACCCGAAAGGTCACCACCATAGTCAATGGAAGAACATGCACTGTCTGACTTCTCTAATTGTTGGTGAGACGAATGGTCATGCTACAATCAATACTATTCTCAACTGCGAACTGCCTATTCTGCTTCAGTTGCCAGTATGTCATAGAATTGTCTTTCATCTTTCCTAGAGCTCTTATTCACTTTTTTTATCAGTTCAACTTACGCCGAACTCGGGTTCTCCTTCTTTTTCCATCTCTGCATTGGTCTATCGTTTGTTTCACCATGCTTCTCTATTCTTTTAGCTTACGGCTATCCGTTGAGAGCCATTCCTTGTTTTTCCGATTCTATTTTTCTTAAGGTGGCTCTACACATTTCTATGAATATCACTTCCAGGGAGTTCCAATATCCTTCGACGCAGGTCTCCTCAGTGATTCCACGTAGTGTCTTTGACTTCTCTCTGACCTGACCTGCAGTGAAGGTATCTCTGGTAGTTTTGTCATTGCATTCAGTTTCTGAATGTTTGTGGTGAACCTTTTAGTTTGTTAGCTTAGTTACCCAAATTCAAATAGAAAATAAAATACCAAATCAGTTTAGTTACGGGAAGAATATATTAAAGTTTGGTTACTTGGGTTTACAAAGATCAAAAATTCACAATAAACGTAATGGACTCCAGAGGCGCTGCGGGAAGACTGTTCCAGTACTAATTCTCCAATGTTGACGTTGCCGGAGGTCGACCAAAGTACGTAGGAAGAAACTACGGTGCTCCTGCAAAAATTTGAGATAGAAAGCAGGTGATTAAAATTGATCGACGGCAGTTGAGATGGTGGAGAAGACGGAGAGTCCGAGTCAGAAGGGTGAGAATACACGCTATAACGTGTTATATTTTCCGCGACTCAGGTTTTTTCGTCTTTCATTGGCTACAACAGTGGCGGTCAATTGGAATTTGAATTGTCCTTGGGTGCGTGCTGCCTTGGCGTGGTTGTGTTTGCTTCGTTTGCCAGTGTATGTGATGATTATAAGCGTGAATTAGACTATTGTAACGCTTTGTTTTTCTTTGTTTGTGCATGTACTAGGCTTTGTGTGTCATACAATTCGTTGTTTGGTCTATCGGTTGCTTGCGATGTCAACGAACCGGTGGGTTCTTGTGTTTTTCTGTAATTTAGGTTATACGATCGGTATTTTCTTGATGGTTATTGATCATCCCTGTATTTCAATGTTGTTTTTTTACGATTTATCTTGGAATAGTTGTGACATAGATAGATACTAATTGATAAATTTATTTTAGTCCGTTGCAGGTAGTCAATTCGAGTGAAAGGCGCACAGACTTAAGTGGAATTTTTGGTGAATTACTTGGAAGGCGTTTCTTGAGCTGGGATGAATTTGAGAAGTCATTAGCAGAATTTCAAAAGTGAGGAAGTCATTTGATGCTAACAATATAGTTGTCCTGCACTCACTATGTTCATAATTATAGCAAAACGATACCGGATGGCAGATTTAAGTACGCTTTTGTTGGTTTTAAATGCACTTTTGGAGTGAATCGTACAAGACCTGGATTGAAACTGAAAAATAAGTCGTAAGAAGAAGTGTGGTATGATTTCATGAATATTTGAGGTTTAAATGTTGCAATTGCTCGTCTTCATTTCGCGTGGTTTTGCGTTGTAGTGAATACATAATTGCTTCCCACAATATGGTACAGAACCATCCATGCAGCAGGGTGTACATGCAGAATGACCCATGGCATAGACGACTAACAGTTGAAGAGAAAGAAAATGTGGAACCAATTCTTCAGCAATCCCACTCATCCGATGAAATAATAATGCATGTTAAGGAGAAGTACCACAAGGATATAACTCGCATCGACGTTAAAAATATGAAAGCCGCAGTTACTAAAGGTAACGTTGACATAATTGTTAAATACTTAAGGTATTTCGAGTCGTCGTGACATTTTCGAATTCCTAAAATCCCGTGGGAAGTTAATGGAGTATTATTCCGATGAACCAATCAGAAAGTCACTAACAAGAATTTGTTTTGCAACTTATGAGCAAATGGAATTGTAGAAACAGTTCCCTGAAGTTGTTGGTATCGGCTCGACGTATAATACAAATAAGGGGAAGTAAGTTTACCAATCCATTAATGCACGTGCAGGTATTCTTTGTTCCAATTACTTGTGACGGATAATTTTGGTCGCGGACGACCAGTTTTATTTGCGTGGACTAGAAAAGAATTTAAACGAGGTGTAGTTTGGACTGTTTTCGTCAAATAATGGAAGACACCTCCAAAACAGAATCTTTCATTATGGATTGTGCGCAAGCTGAAATAGCAGCCGTCAAGTTAACGCACAGAGAAGCGCACATTGTTTCGTGTTCCTTCCATGTTTGCCGAGCCTTCTGTCCTGAAGTAAGTTTTTCAAAGCATACTTTACATTTTATTCGTAGACAAGAAATCCCATTGTGAAGAACTACCTATGCCGTCTAGTGCAGTGTAAAAGGAGATCAGAGTAATGCCTCCATTGTTCTCATTTTTCAGATTTAATTTCTACTTCAGAGTTATTTGCAGATTGGATGCTAATGTCAGTCAATATCTACAACGTCGTTGGATGCATCGACGACATTTGTGGGCAGCATGTTTCAGAGACAACGTGCTGACTTTTGGGAATGATACAAATAATCGCATCGAGAGCTCCCACAAGCAAATGAAACGGTACTTGCAAAGATCTGATAGTCTGCATAAAAGTATGCTGAAGGTGTATAAATGGTATAAACGAAGTTTTTCAAGAATACAGCAGGAGGCGATTATTGCTCAGTCGTGATGCTTAACTTATCCCTGTTCACAACGTCTAATCCCAATTATACGATTGCTGATGCCATACGCTGCGAGGAAGGTTATCCGTGAATACGATAGGCGACGATGGGCTGTTGTTGAGGTTGAATCCTTCGATTATGTATTCTTCAAAGAAAATGAGATTAGAGTGGAGGTTGATCTGAGTGCTTGCACCTGCACGTGCTTTACATTTCAGACCTGTTGGTACCCCTGCCGACACTTGCTTTTGGTCCATTTCAGAAAGCCGTATTTCACAGGTATATTTGCATTTTTATGACTCCGTTTTTAATTTATGTCGACCGAAATTTAATTAATTAATGTTCTTATATACGGAAATTTGTAATTTTCATTAATCTATTCGTGTGTACATCGCCTTAATTGGAAACAAGACACAAGCACTACCATCATTGCACGTGTAATATTCAGTTCATAATTATCTTTACGTTTTTTGTTTCACCTTTTGTAGTTAACCGTGTGATGCAGAATTGCAAACAATGGGCGTGGTCACGCAACTTGTTCGCATCTCAATGCACGTCAGCTGTTGTCCCTCGAAATCGAAGTGCCCCATTGGAAACCTATATAAGTATTATGAAAACGGGCAT